ACTTCTGGAGACCTAATGTACAGCATTAGGTAATAATAATGTATTAGCATTAGGTAATAATAACTAGGTAATAATAACCAGCATTAGGTAATAATAATGTATTATATACTTGAAAGATGCTAAAAAAAACCCCAATAACAAGTTTTTAAAAAGTGATGAACAAAAAAACAGGATTATATTCAGTGGTAACAAAAATAAATTTTATTTGTGGATCGAATCTGATGACATGTGTGGAGGGTTTTGAGAGAAAAAACTCACATGCAAAACCCTTGTCAAGCATTACAGAGGATACAATTATAATTATAACGTGGCTGTCAAGAGCCGTCAAATGTTTCAGGGGACACAAGACACAAAAGCCTCTAACCTGATGCCCAATGTGATCAGAGTGGACAGGGCGTTTCCTGGTGAACGTTTGGACTAGGTCTTAGAGTATCAGCTTGGGAAGCACTGTTTCTTAGGTTTTCCAGAAACTAAATAGAACCCGTATGTATGAATTATTCATGCCAATAAACAATGCGGGCTCATACACTCTGTTCATAAACATTAGATTTTCATCCATCCCCTGCTCCCACAGTGACTGTAATTTTAGATACGCCAAAAGGGACCAAAATCTGTGAAGGACTGAGTTTGCCTGTGACCCATGCACCCAACTGGATGCTCAGAGCCGCAGATGCTGGAATGTCGAGGTTGACCAGTTCTCCCAGACTGTATCCATATGCCCTGCTTCCTCAGAGGCAGGCATGGGATCCATTTAAGAACATATTTGGTGACACTGAAGAGGAGAATCAAAACCTCCCCCTCCCAAAATACCCTCAGGGAAAAACGGACTCTTTTTTTATTTTATTTATTTATTTGTTTGTTTGTTTATTTTTATTGGAGTATAATTGCTTTACAATGGTGTGACAAACTGACTCTTCAAACTGAAAGAGCAGGAGCAGCCTCCTTGGGTCTGTGTATTTGTGTCTGTGTCTGCAGCTTGATTCTGAGCTCTGTGGGGCTGTATCTATGGTGGATTCGCTTCTGCCCCTCCCCGCATTTCACTCTGGGGTCAGCCCAGCACCATCTGAGCAGAGTGAGTGCTCAGCCACTGCCTGTTAGGTGCAAAAGGCAGGAATGAATAACAATAGCTAGGGGCTTCCCTGGTGGCGCAGTGGTTAAGAATCCGCCTGCCAATGCAAGGGGCACAGGTTTGATCTCTGGTCTGGGAAGATCCCACATGCCGTGGAGCAACTAAGCCCGCGAACCACAACTACTGAGCCCGCGTGCCACAACTACTGAAGCCCGTGTGCCTAGAGCCCGTGCTCCGCAACAAGAGAAGGTACCGCAATGAGAAGCCCGCGCACCGCCGCAAAGAGTAGCCTCCCCTCAGCGCAACTAGAGAAAGCCCGCGCGTAGCAACAAAGACTCAATGCAGCCAAAAATAAATAAATTAAATAAATAAATTTATGAATAACGATAGCTAGTGCATCCGGTACTTACTCTGTGCCAAACACTTTATATTACACGTACAAAGTAGGTGCTATTATTATCAGGCCCATTTTGCAGGTGAGGGAACTGAAGCACAGAGAGTTTAGATCACACAGCCCATAAGTGGCAGAACCACTTTGCACTGCATGGTCTGATTCAATTGGCCACGTTCTTAACCGCGTCCGTCACTACCCCAATCCCTGCATATTATGGGTTGGTAAAAGTGACAGGGCCAATGGAGTACCTTGAGGGCAGAACCAAGGTAGCACCACATTTTGGGTAGCCCAGAGTGACTCACACTGGTTGGCTGGTGCTCAGGGAGCATTTTAGGTGCTAAAGGAAGTGGGTGGGTCATTTGCTGAAATGAAAAGCTGAAGAGAAGACACATATGGGTCCAGGAATTAGTCCAAAGCTCTAACTTCAAGACTTGGGCTCAAAAACCAGCTCCTGGCCAATCTTTCAGATGATGGCAATAAAGACAACTGTCAGATAGACTCAGAGGAGAAATTCTGGAAATTAATTGCCCTTAGGGATCTCATCAGGAAATGAGGTAACCAGTTAATTCGGGGACAAAGAGTAATTCCTGTAGGTATTTACTGTAGGCCATTGGCGACTTGGGAGGTGCATGTGCCATGGCTCAGTCTTTGAGAAGCTCCTAGCAAAATGGGGAGATGCAGGTCCATCTTCTATCCAGATGCCAACTTAGGGTGGCTCATTGGTTGGCCATGGGCGATCGGTCCCAGCTTGTGGAAGGCAGCTTGGCTTCCGCCATCGTGTGTCAGGCCAGTCGTGACCTGGAGAGGAGCATTCTGGTGAGACGGCTTCTGGATGGAGGAGCCCGCTCCCTCTTTGGCTGAGGGACCAGCCCCTGGCTTTGCGTTTCTCTGGCACATCACGAATGCCACAGTGAAGGGCACCAGAGGCCAGCTGAACAGCAGGAACAATTGTTCCTTATGGGAAGCTGCCACCTCCAGTGCCATGCTCCTGTTGAGCTATGAGTAAGTTCCAAGTAATTAAGGGGGTTGGGTTCTGAAGCCACTGTGACCATCATCTTGCACATCCTTGCTGAGAGCTCCTGGCAGGTCCTATCACCTGCCGTCTTGGCAGCAGACTAGCACTGCGGGCTGCTCCTGCCCTGGTGTCCACTCTGCCTGGAGGGAACTGACAAGGGAGGGCACTCGGTGTATTTGGAAGTTCGTGTATATAGGGAGCTAATTACTCTCTTTATAAATCTGCATTTGCCACCAATCACAGCTTTCACGGTGCTGGGACTGTCATGGCAACTAAAAGCATATCTGAAAATAAAATGTCACTTTTCTTCTGCATTTCTAGTATAATGACACAGGAAACTTGTTTTTCCTTTTTAACTTAACATGATAACTAGAGATTCAAAGAGTATAGGTGTGTGTGCAGCACATGTGGGTAAGCAGGCGCTGTAGTGTGTGTGAGCATGTGAGTTGTGTGTGTGTGTGAGGGTGTGTATGGGTGCTCCTGTTGATGGGGGTGGTGTGTGCAGCTGTGTGGCTGTGGGGTGAGTCCTTCTTGTGTGTGTGTCTGAGGTTAGGGGCTGAATTTGGGGTTGAGATCACACACAGGCTGTGAGTGTTTGAAGACTGGTCTGGAGAGTGTGTGTGAAAGTGCTGGTGTGTGTGGTGTGTGTGTGTGTGTGTGTGTGTGTGTGTTTGAGCCTGAAGACAAGTAGCGCTGGGAGAGGTGAGTCTGCAGACAAGCGCTAGTGCGTGAATGTGTTACACTCCCGTTTGGTGAGACAAGGCTTCTGGCTTTGGGAAGCTTTCTCTCTATAGGGTATCCCTGTGGTTCCAACCTTTGGGAGGTTCCAGCCCAATCACAGGAGATAGAAGCCCTCTTTTTGGGGAGGACCCAACTCTGTGCCTCAAACCTCATAGAACCAGAGATCCTACAGATCAGTAGCACCCAGACACCATCTGGCCCAGCCCTGACCTAGGTGATGGGGATTTCTGCTCAAGGTGGAAGGTATAGAGCACACAGACAGTTTGTGTGTCTCTCATTCATTCATTCTACTAACTGACACACGTTAGGCATAGGGCTGAGCCTGTCGCATTTGACCTGGGGTGGGGCTGACACTCAGTGGCTACCACATGTACAGATTTACAACCATGATCACATTTGCACACACCTCTCCAAGGCTTCATGCTTCCTAAGACCATTTTCTGAGCCTCATCTCCTATGTGCTGGCTTCTCCAGGAGGACACTTCCCAGGCATGGAAATGTACCTCTGGTCAGAATCAGGAGGCTGCAAGGGAGCCTTTTCCCAGGATGCGAGGTGCAGGGGCCGAGCTGTGAGGGATGGAAGGTGGGGATGGATGTTGCTGGGAGAGGCCACTGCCCACTGCCATGTGCAGACCTTCGCACGGGCCAGCTTTCTCAGGCAAGGGCTCGATCCACAGTGTCCAGGGCTCGTTCAGTCCGTCACCAGGATTCTTCCAGTTAACCTCTCTGTAATTCACATCTCTGGAGATTCTTTGTTTTATTATTATTATTTTTTAAGTTCAATATGAAACCACAGAGAAACCAATATCAAGTAAATGTTAGTTCAAAAAGTGTTTTATTGATCACTGCTTATTCTCAGGTCATCCCTGCCTGGGCCCGGGTGACACAAATGCATCTGAATGATTCCCTGCCTGGAGCTTTTCTCAGTGCAGTGTTGGGGGGTGAGAGAGATAGAGGCCATGGATGACAGCAGATGTAGGCACAGAGGAGAGGTGCCTTAAGCCAGCCAGGTGCCTTAACCTAAGCAGAGTTGTAAAGGACCATAGAGGTTGACCCGATGTCAGGGGTGGGGAGAGAAAGGAAGTCACCACTCGGTGACATCAAGCCCACCCAAAGGCTCCATACACGTGGGAAGCAAGTCTGGACTGGAGTTGGTAAAGGGCCATGTAGTCTGGGATGCTCTTTGCTTTGTCTAAGGAAGTTGGGATGACGTTGCCCTGGGATGGCAAGCGGCGTCACAAGCTTAAGAGCTTTGGCAAGAGTCCTCTCCACTAGATGGCTGTGCTAACTTCTCTGCCCCCACCCCCACCCCCCGCCGCCGCCACGTACACTTTGTTTCTGTGGCTCTGTTGGTGTCAACGGCAAGGAAGCAAATTCTGCTGGCAAAGCGCTGGGCTTTCTTGCAGGTTGCAGTCACGCTGGCTGTTCTAGCTCCCTCCGCATAGCTTTTACACCACAGCAAAGCCCGCAGGAGCGGGAGTGGAAAAGAACCTGTAAATGTGATGGTCGGTTCCAAAGGCACATTATTGGCTTGTTGTGTAATACCCTCTGGTGACATCGAGGCCTTATTAATAACTAAACATCTGTCACAACCGCAATTATATTTCTTGTGCCAGGATTGTGTTTCTATGATTGTCCTGTTTAAATGCAGAAGGGAGGGTGTGAGTTATTGAGGAAACTGACTTTGAGTAGATTACCACCAGCACTGTGCAGCCGGTAAGTTTCTGTCAACTCCTTGCAGAATCTCAGCGTCTCTGCTGACGTTCCCTTGGTGTACTCACAAATCTCTCTGAGAACATCGCCCTGGACCCCCGATGCGGCTGCCTGAGCAACCTGGAGAGGGGAAGCCTGAGAATGAGGAAAAGGGGGGCAGAGGAGCCCCCGGAGGGGGAGAGGAGCCGCGGAGGACCCGGGCCCCCGACTTCCCCACTTGGCAAGTCTTCCCCCCCAAACCCCCGGAGAAACGAGCTTTCTTGAATGTTTGCTCAGGACTTGATTGTGTTCAGCCTGCAGGTAGGGGGTGGCGTGGGGGCTGGAAGCCTTTGTGCTGAGTGTCTGGGGACAGGACACCTGGGAGGGGTCCCAAGGGGATGCGCGTCCCAGCTGGGCCAGAGATTTGACGATCTGTCTCGAGCCTGACAGCTATCCATTGATTTTATCTGAGATACGTGCAGCGGCAAGGGGATGGGTTTGAAAGCCGACTCTATTATGGACTGATGAGCTTGGAGGGGGCTGTTAAAAAAAAAAAAAGCAACAGATGCCATTTATAGTGTGTGTACTCTGTGGTGGCATGGAAGCAGGATCTCTGCATAGATAATTTCAATTCATCCTCACAATAACCCCATACGGGTGTTATTAACCCCATTTTTTACAGGAGAACAGTAAGACAACCAGTGAACAACGTCACATAGACCGGATCAAGCAGGCAAAGGTCAGCCCAGGACTCCTACCCATGTCTCTGAACCCAAAAACTTGTTCCTAACCATTGGACTCCCCTGCCTCTCCCCCGATTATGGGTGAGAAGGTCAGCTCAGGGGGGAGGGTTTGTACGTGTTCTAAGTCACAGGCTTCTGTGGGTTTGATCCTACTCCCTTTCTTTTCCTTGGAGACATTCATGGCTGTAAAAACTCAAAAGAGGAATTTCAACTCTGGGTGGTTTTGTATAGAAAGAAATTTTGATCTGTGTGAAGCTGACATCGAGGATTTGGTCTGGGTGAGTCCTTTAAACGGGTATGCTCTGCAGTGGTCTCCCCAAGGCTGTTTGGAATGGGATCCCCAGCCCCTTCTGTCACCAGCTCCTAGTGGGGGCCACGAGTGTTTATGGTGGGGACCGTGAGTTCAGGGTTAGGCTTCTGGGGGAATAAAGGAAGTGGACATATTTCTGATGACTAGAGCTCCTGATCTGCAGCAATTTCTCTCCAGAGTTGGGGGCTGGACAGCAGGGACCAGCACAGGTTGCTGTAAGACTCTATCCAGAACCTTCTCCAATACAACTCATTGTTTGGGAAGTCAAGGTGGGAGCTGATGGGACCTTTGGCCAAGCGTGTGCTGACCTACGGGGTGAGCCATTCTCATTGACTCTGAGGGAAGGTCTGGAAGAGGGCAACGTGAAGCTGAAATGACATATACTGAAGGCAGGCTCAGAGGGAGATTCTGCTCAGGAAAGCTGGTCAGGGGTCCGAGGACGACCTGGCCTGGGCCTCCGCAGCCCAGAGAGGAGCCCCAGCAGGAGGCATAGTCCAGTCCAGGGATGAAATCCCTGTTTGGTTTCTTCTCAGTCTGGAATAAGTGACAGCATCCTGGGCACTTGCCCTGGAAGGGAAGGAGGGAAGGACTGGGGCAGAGAAACGGTTCTGCATGTCCTATGGGGTCTGTGGCAAATGACAGATGTGGCTGATGCTACAGAGGATAAGGAGAGTTGCCCACCTTAGTGGATGAGAAGATATCATGCAGCAAACAGAAAAAGAAGTCCAGTGGAGTCAGAAACCCTTTTTTACTCAACATACTCCCATATTAAAAAATATTTCCCTATTTGTTCCTGTGACTTTGGGATTTAGAGTTTTGGGGCCAGAACTGTGATGAGTATGAGTCAGGCAGTTTAGTTTCCCTCATTTCTGGGGGCGGCAGTAGCCCAAGAGGAATGAATCTGCTTCTCCCAAGCCATCAGCTTCTCCGTGGGGGAGAACATGAACTCCTCTTGGACCCCAGGGCTGAGGGTCTCTAGGCTCCTGGCTTGTTCTCATCACACATTCACAGTCATACCCACACACCAACAGACATAACACTTTTGCTTACTCCTTCCTTGGGGGAAGACACACATTTCTCAAAGATTTCTTTGTGCAGTGCACAGAGAGAGACAGCTAAAAGGAGGAGGGGTGAGATGGGGCCAAGGAATGAAGTTCCATGGTCACAGTCTCTGCACCGGGGCTTGGATGTGGAGGGGAAAGGGAAAAGAGACCACCTGGAACGTGTTTTGTGTAACTTTCCATCAGCGAATTCTTGCAGAGTAGAGAAGGTTGCATCCCTGTCCTCCGGTTCCTTAGCTGGGAGCCTCCTTCAGATAACACATGGGTGTTGAGTACTGGGACTAGTTTACAGAGCATCAGGGGCCTCAGTCCTTAAACACCGTGGGTCCAGGTGGTTGTGCCTGGTATGGGCAGGGTGGGCAAAATTATAAAGTCAGGAGGAGTCTCCTCCACGTGTCCCATCTTCCTGCCCCAGGTCATTTTCGCATCTCCTGGTACCAATTTGGTTCCTAGTAACAGAAGTCCAGTAGAAGTCGCCTAAGTGAAAAGAGAAATATCTAACATCGTAACACAAGATCCCAGGCACTGGTGGAGGGCGGGAGAAGGTATGTCAGAAAATCCAAAGCCTCAGGGAAGTGAAAGACCCAAGAAAGCTGTTTCTTTCTGCCTGTCTATGTCTGTCTGGTTTCTCTGTCCATATATAATAAAAATTATCGCTATCAAGTTTCTGCCAATTTGGCAGTCAGCCTCAACTGGGAATTAGTATGGTCCTAATTCCAAAGTCCCTGGGGAACAGCCTCATAGCTGCCCACTCCTGATCAAATCAAGTGTCCAGGGGATGAGGGCAGAGAGTATGAACGTGGTTGCTTCTGCCATAGATATGTGGGTGGAAACGGTGGAGAGACAATGAGAAGTGGGGCAGCTCCTCACCCCAGTTCCTTCAGATATTGGTTTTGTATTCCATTCCTGAAGTTGGTCAGCTACTCACGAGGGGCAGGTAAGGTGCTTGTTATTCATACTCTAAGTTGGAGCCTTTCAAAGAAGGTGGTCCCCAGGAGACGCAGAGGAGTGGGACAAAAGCAGTGGGGTAGATGAAGCTGGCTGGGGGCACCGCAGTGGCCTGTGGAGAGAGACCTCATGCAGAGGCAGGGACTGGAGAGGTAGGACCCTCTAGCCTCCTCCCAGCCCATTCTCCTGCCTGTCAGTCTGGAAGATTACAGAATTCCGCAGAATGTCTATTCCTATGTCTTTGCCAAGGTGTGGCCAGGCTTTCTCTTGATGGGTCTGGAGATGGCCTGTAGCTGGGGACCTTCCTTCTCTTCTACTCTGAAGAGTCTTGCAAGGGCCCATAGCAGTGGAGCCCTGCTTCTCTCGGGCCCACCAAGGTGCTGACTCCTTGGGCTGGAGGCTTGAAAGGTTGCTCTTCCCGTTTTGTCCAGACTCTGAGACCTGGAACTCTTTTGACCAGGTCTGGAGCTGACTCATGAATGGTCAGTAGGCCAGGAGACCAACTGGAAGAGAGTCACCAAGGACAGAGAGATACCCAGGTAGCTTCAGAAAACCACAGCTAGTAATCAATCCCACTACCATGGTGCTGCTCCAACCCAGCCCAAAGGAAGCTTTTCTAATATGGGGAGAAATGGATGTGCACTATTGATACCTGAGCTAAAAATAGCCCATGTTCCAAACAAAGTGTTTTTTAGTATTTTGACATGAAAACGTGTAGACAAAGCAAGGATTTAGAATGCATGACTCATTAAATTGCTGACTCTGAAAGCAGTGGAAATTCAAAGGGAATTTTTCTCTCCCTATTACTCCCTCCCACCCCTGCTCTGAATAGCTTATAAAGAGAGTTTCTACATAAACAGGACCCATAAACTCCTCCATGATTTAAGGTCCTGAGCAGTGAGAGGCAGAACGAACTCAAGTTTTATTGCCTGGTTACTAAGTTGGCTTCCCTAGTTAGGTTGGAATCATCAACCAGAGCCCCCCCCTGGTCTGCCCACATCCTAATTTCTCCTCCTCGTGTCCCTAACAGGTGTCCAGGGGATTCCATGGCCCCACCACGGCCACTGCTCCTCCCTCCCCACAATGCCCAGCTCTGTTGGACCCCAGCAGCATTCATGTCACCAGCCCTAGTGAGGATGTTTCATCACTGAGCATTAGCTCTGGGGGCTACATCCTCAGGGAGAGCACACACCATATGGTTCTGTAGAAGGATGCAGGAGTGGGCACCTCCATCAACTCACTGGGAGCCTCGGGTTCTTTCTCAGGTTGAATGCAAGGGTTGGGTCTCATCAGTGATGTTCATTTTTGTTTGTTTTTTTTCCCTCACAAAACCTTCCCAAAATATGTTTTCTGGGGAATCCCAGTATGTAAGGCAAAAAAAAAAAAAAAAAAAAAAAAAAAAAGACCCATTCTGGCTGGAGCAAGGTTTGTGTGCGTTTGGGAGAATGGGGAGGTACTTCAGGGCCTGAGATGAACAGTGAGACCTTTCACTTGGAGAGACTATTGGTCGACCTTCATAGCATGGTTCCTAGAAAGTTGTGTAAAAAATCTCACCAAAAAAAAAAAAAAAAAAAAAAAAAAAAAAGAGAAGACCCATTCTGGCTGGAGCAAGGTTTGTGTGCGTTTGGGAGAATGGGGAGGTACTTCAGGGCCTGAGATGAACAGTGAGACCTTTCACTTGGAGAGACTATTGGTCGACCTTCATAGCATGGTTCCTAGAAAGTTGTGTAAAAAATCTCACCTCTGACCTCTCCTTGCTGTCATCCCCTGCTTTCCTTCCATGCTCCTTGAATATCTTAGTGCTGGTTCTGTCTCACATCTGCCCAGAGTCCTGATGTCACGTGAGGAAGCTAGAACCGCGTGGATGACAAGGCAACATTTCCACCTCATGTTCCTTCAGATTCCACTCACAGAAATCACACTGCAATACTCCCCTCTTTAACAACCTCCTTGATGGTGTTTACCACTGTTATTCCTATTTCAGGCTATAGAGCATACTGAGAGAAAATCTTACATGGATATGGGACATGGGTAGGTGATACTCATAGCCTTCAACGCCAGCTGGTCTTCAGTGGGACTCAGAGGTCCTGCTAGAGACCAGGTCTCCTCCCCATGTTCCACCGTGACTGTTTCACCCACTACCCACTCATCTAAGAATGATGCTACTTGCTCATTCCCAAATA